TCATAATAGTTTGACTTAATTTTCATCAAGTCCTATTGAAAATAAGCCTTGATAATATTATCGTTAAAAATAATTTTTTACATACGTTACTAAAAATTGATAATTAATAATTTTTTTTGTTATGATTTTTATAAATTATCACTAAAACTTATGATTAGTGACTTTTTTTATAATAAATTTTTTTCATAGGTCCTATTAGATAATAAGTTTCCTTGGTAAGATTTATATATAAGTAACCTAAAAAACTTGAAGACAAAAGGACAAGAAAAATAAGTTTAGAAAATTTCATTGTAAACTAAATTACAAAAAATATTCATAATACTCACGTGGGTAATTTTAAAAGAGATTCACACTTACGTAAGTATTTTGAATAATTTATAATATTTAATTCTACCTAAGACGTGCTGCAACTAGGAAAAAATTGGTACACAATTAAAGATACACATTGGTGCTCATAGAATACCACGTGGGTGTAGCCACACCACACCTATGTCAACATTCAAGTCCCTCAGTTGAATTTAAATGCTGATCACCATCATATGATTGGATAAGAAATGTGTTTGATTGAAAAATTTAATAAGAAAAATAGCAAGGAAAAAAAAAATATATATATATATATATAGAAAAAGAAAAAGAATTGATAAGATTTAAATTTCAAACCATTTAATTGAGTTGAGAAATGAGAAAGAAAATAGTCTAAGGTGAACTTAAAAGATAAAAATTAAAATTGCATTTTCCTCACTTTTTCTATGTATTTTCCATTACAACCAAATAAAAATGAGATTGTATTGTATTTTTCTTTTTATTTTTCTTATCAAATCCTCCAACAAAATACAATTTAAAGAGATTTGGCCATAAAGATGTAAAATATGTGTACGGCTCATCCTTGTAAATATACAGGTAAGACATGACAAAAACATATTCACCCAAAAAAAAAAAAGACATGACAAAAACATAATATGTAGCATTAAATATAATAAATATTAGAAAATATTACCAATTTGTCACCATGTACCATAATAGGGAGAGACAATGAGGGTGTATACTTTATGTACCTTATAATTATAGAAAAAATAACATAATTTTATACTTTTTGAATCATAACTAAAAAAAAAATTAAAAAAATTAAAGTCATAACCAAATAAAAAAAATTCATAACCAAAATATCAAAATAATGTCATAATTAAAGAAGAAATTTGATCACAACTAAAGAAGAAAATAACATAAGCAAGGATACATATAGTATGGAGTGTGTATAATAAAATTTTCCAACATAATATTAACAATTGAAATGTCACATTCACAAAATAATTTAATCTTTTTACTACAATTTCTTTTGGTTAAATTACACTAACCTCCCTCAAATTTGAAAAAACATACAAAAAGTCCAATGATTTTTGGCATAATTATATTGATTTTCTTTTTTCAAAAGCTAAAAGTTGAAGGTACAAAAATAAATAAGATAAAATATACATTTCAATAGGAAAAAAAATATGACAATATTTATTTTTCTATCTACATAACTAACGAATTACTAATGAAAATAGGATTTGTGTTATATAAATTAGAAAACCTTATAGGCCCTAATTTAATCATGCCAAATTTGTGAAAGTAGCTATATTTTTTTCCAAATCTCAAAACATATCAGTGTAATTTACCTTTTGTGATCTCAATCTCATAACTTCAAATTACGAAAACAGTCTCTTCCTATATAAGAATAAGATTGTGTACATCTTATTACCGAATTGTGTGTTGTTTTGTAGTGGGAATACGTTATTCTTGGAGCCCTACTGGATGCAACATGCAGCTAAAGGTGCAGTAGTAGTGGCAGGGTGGCACAGAATGAGCTATGCATTCAATGGCCACTATCATCTCAGAAGAGCTTGAAAAACACATCAGAAAACTACATGAGAGAGTTGGGAATGCAGTGACAGAAGGGAGATTCATAGTGTTTGGTGCTGGATCTACCCAACTCCTTAATGTAGCAGTTCATGCCCTTTCCAACTCTTCTTCTCCTGCTGGAGTCGTAGCTACCATCCCTTTCTACCCGGTTGTTCTCCTAACCCAATTTATGACTCTTTAGACTATTGGATTAAATATTTTTAAATCAGTTGTAAAAGTGTTTTGCGTATTTTTTGGATAACATGTGGAAAACATAAAAGTTCTTGACAGATTAAAGATTTTTTTGAAGTCTTTTAAGTTTAAATTGTCCATAATTTTTTTACACCTACCTAACCACTTTTTAGTTAATGTTAAAATTTGTGTAAAAAGTTTTTTTATTTTTTTATCTTTTTCTTATACTCCAAAAACATTTGTTAGCAAGGCTTATTTTAAAAATATTGAATGTTTTTCAGTCCAATGTGCGAAATCTAAGAAAATTAAGCTAGAAAAACACCCCAATAATCCAAATTCAGTTTGTTTCTCGTAATTTTTTTTAAGTTCAAAATTTATTATCAAAAAATAAATAGAAATTAAAACTATTCTTCTCTAACTTTCCAGTCATAATCAAGTTTTTGATTTATTTAAATTATTTTTCACTCATAAATCTAACACAAATTCCACAAATATAACCATATATATATATATATATATATTTATAAACAGAAATCCTATAAACCAATAATAAGATCGTGCGGTGAAGATTGAATTGGTATTGTGTGGGAACTATTCATAAAATAAACGTGGACCATAGATTGACAAGTCTGGTAAAAATTTTGAGTTTGTATTTTTACTGATCAAAAAAATCTGGATATTTTTTGGCAGCCCTATAGGTCACAGACTAACTTTTTCCGATCAATGGACTATAAGTTTGTTGGAGATACATCGATGTGGAAGAACACTTCAGATGTGAATATGAATATGATTGAGTTTGTGACTTCACCAAACAACCCTGATGGTCAGTTGAAGAAGGCAGTGCTGAGAGGGTCCTCAGTGAAAACAATTCATGATTATGCTTATTATTGGCCCCATTTTACAGCAATTCCAGCACCAGCTGATGAAGATCTCATGTTGTTTACTCTTTCTAAGCTTACTGGCCATGCTGGCTCCAGATTTGGGTAAGTCCAATTATAACTACTCTAGGACTTATATATGCACTTAGTATTTAAATCAATGTTAAAAAAAAAAAAAAACAAGGCACAAAACACATGTGGCAGTGGGTGGAACCCACTGCCACATCATTAGAGCCACCACTAATTAGTGGTCTAAAGCATTTTTGAAAAAAAAAAAAAACCTTTAGAAAAATGTCCAGAAAATGAGGTATTTGATGTAGATTCAAATTTGGTATGGATTATATTTAAAATAAATTAGGTCACACATTCTACTTTATGATCACTTTTCTATATATTTTTCTGGGTGCATAGCATTTTTAGTCGATGCAAACTAGACAGTTATATTGCATTGTTTTTTGATTATACAGGTGGGCATTGATAAAGGATGAGGAAGTTTATGAGAGAATGTTAAAGTATACTGATCAAATTAGCTTTGGGGTTTCTCATGACACCCAGTTAATAGCATTGCAGCAACTCAAAGCAATTTTCCAAGGGAATAATGGTAGTGATATTTTTGAGTTTGGATTCACAACAATGAGGAAGCGCTGGGAAATTCTGAGCAAGGCATTATCAGAATCGAATCGCTTCTCTATCCAAAAAATTGAACCCCAATTTTGCACTTTTTATCAACAACTCAGAGGACCTTCTCCAGGTGATCATCATTCTTATTCACTCACTACTACATATTTTTAGGTAAGATTTTTGTGCGAGAACCTGACAGTATTGTTAAGCGGACCAGTTGAGAGGGTCTTGACTTTTGTAATTATTTTCCCTCTCTTTATGAATGTAAACACAATGTTGAACCACGTATATCTTGTGTTTTGTGTTTTTTTTTATTTTTAATTTTGTTGATTGTAAACAAAATCAATTTAGAAGTTGATTTTTTTTTTTTTTTGGGCAGCTTATGCATGGTTGAAATGTGAAAGGGATGAAGAAGAAGATTGCTATGAAGTGCTGAGAGAGAATGGTATAATCAGCCGGAGAGGAAGTGTATATGGTGCAGAAAGGCGGTATGTGCGTCTCAGCCTCATCAAGACCCAGGATGACTTTGATTTATTAATGCTCCGATTCAACTCATTACTCTCTCAAGAAAATTATTATGGGATTGAAACTATTATGTGAAAATAATTAATATATAATCAACTTTCTGTTGATTGTAATCTCATCACTAGGTTACAATTCATGCATTTTGTATCTATTTCATTTATTGCCACTACAAGTTTTACTGTCAATTGTTTGTAATTGATAATATAAGAACTTTATGTCGTTTCTAAAGTGTATGATTCTATTCTATGTATGGTTTATGTGATATTAAATTTGAATCTATATCATATACTTCATTTTTTAGTTATTTTTGTGATTTTTTAAATTTTTTTTCTTTTGATAAACCGACAAGAAATTATTTTGTACTTCCAACAACTATGGCAGCATGTGTATGCAGTGGTGTTTCTTATTTTATACTCGATGATAAAATGTTAATGACATTATTAAAGTTATTTTTAGCTTATTATAGTGCAAAAAAAGTCAATTTTTATCTATTTCACTTTAATAGTTCACATTCTATTTGACACCATCAATTTTCATTTCAATTTTTTAATCATTAAATCTACTTCTCAAAAAAATCTCTTTGTAATCATGTTTTAATTTTGATGATGTCATAAAAATTGCATTATCAAATTTCAAGTCAAATTTCATCATTAAATTTACTCCTCAAAAGTCCTTTTTTTTCTTATGTAATGTTTTCTAAAATGTTTCTATTTTTTACCAAACAATGAGGTTTCGGGGTGCATACTATATCCATATGTATCTCATCACAAAAATATGTAATTTTAATATAAAACTTTGCAAAATTAATTACAAAATCACAAATTGACATAACAAAATATTTAAAATTTTGTGGTTGATGTAAAAAATTGTGACTTGGTTAAAAAAAAATTTATTACGTCAATTTATAACGAGATTATTTCTAATTGATGTTACAAAATTTTATAATAAAATTACACATCTTATATTAGGGTGCATATGGTGTGCACCGCATAGCATTTCCCTTATCTAAAATAGATTTATTCCTATGTACCTAAAAAAATATATATTATTATCTAAAATAGACATATTGAAATGGTGTGCAGCATAATTTAATTCAAATCCCATATCTTTTAAATTATTTTTATCATGCGGTGTACATGTTATTTTATTTTTTTAATAGAATAAAAAATAGTTTTAATTCAATTACTTTTTCTTCACACTATTAAAGACGATATCGCGCTATCATGCTTCTACGAGATCTTTTAGAATGATTTTTAATCCAACAATTATGGCCACATCTTCAAAATTCCTTTAATCTGTCGCCCATCACTTTTGTCTTCTTCTACAAGTCTCTTATTATGAAGAAAAATATATTAAAAAAAATAAAAAAATAATATAACTCAAATAAACTAATAAACTGATAAGCCAATTTTTGTTTTTTTACCATCACAAAAAGGCCAAAGTCCACGGTGAGTAATACGACTGGAACTGGTTGCACGAGTTATGGCTCATGAGTCGACTCATGTGAAGGGATAATTGAGAGAGTTAAGTGTGGTGTTAATGATGATGGACACATGGCAGCAAAACGATGAAGCGATAGAGTGATCTTTAAAATATGGGATACTTATAATTTGTGAATGATTATAAATTTTTAGAATTTACTTTGTAGGAATGTGTTTAGTGTGATCTTTAAAATAATACACTTTTATTTATTGGATGCCTCATATATCCAATTATTACCTCTAGTAATTTTTAATTGTGATTTTTATAAAATGTGTGTAGAGTAGAATTTTTCAAATAATAAATTTAAAAATATTAGAAGTCTTAAATATTTCTTCAAAATTTCTATCAAACACTCACTAATATTCCACAAAAATTTTGATAAAACATTTGGATATCTAATATTTCTCTTATAATTGAATGTAATATTGTGGTCGTTTCTTAATTCTAACAGTGATACATACTTAAAAATGTAGTAATAAATGTAATATTAATTTTTTCAAGAACTACTAGATTTGTTATGTTCATTAAAAATAAAGAATTTAAATTTAGTGAGATGTCAAATTTGTTCCAGTGCATGATTTTTTTTTTTTTTTTTTTTGTTTTTTGATTTGCATGTTCGGAATTTTTCTTCCAATGAAAAGTTGGATAAGTGAATATTGACCCAAAAGCACAACAAGATAACGGATTTGATGGCCATGGATCTCATGGATTTTATTTTTATTAGTTTAAATGCATTCGTAATTTCTAAGCTTATTTATTTTAATGAGATTAAGTGCGAAATGGGGAGATAATAAACTACTAATAATTGTATATGACCTCGTTTGTTTTCAGAGGTAGAATGGAGAGGATTCATAGTGAGAGGATTAATAGTGAAAGGATTGATAATAAGAGGATTAAGTAAAATTTTGTTTGTTTTGATGATAGTTGTTGGTGTAGGGATTGTTAAATTATTTTTAT